GGAACTAGAGACGGGAGCTCACTCCGTCATGCGGCACACTCGGGTCTCAAACTGCTGAACTACCAACCTTCCACAGCCTGCAGTTCAGCGTCTTAACCAGGGGTCACTAACCTCGAATAAAACTGTGTTGGTCATAAAGGTGCCACTGGACTCGAATTCTGTTCTTTTCTTTACTGAGAGCTAAGGGAAGAAAAATATGCCAAGCTACCCCCCAAACTCTCCATGGTACCAAGTTTTGTTGTGTCTTAGAAACAGAACAAGGACGAGAAAGTTGCATCTCTGGTGCTCTGTTCAGCAAATCAGGACAGACAGGTAACCCTATAAAACAGAAGTCTGTAGTAAACAAATATTCCTATGGCAGACCAATGCTCCCTCTAAGCTGTGGAGTCTTGTGAGCAAAAATTCTACTTTGTGAGCTACTGGCATTAAAGTTGTGAGCGAGTGATTTAGTCTGCTCTGGAACTGTCCTTCCTGAGCTGAGACAAAAATATGAGCCAGGGCTAAAAAATTGTGAGCTTGCTCACACTAACTCAGCTTAGAGGGAACACTGGAGCTGGCTTTTCTCTCATCTTTCTCTGTATGTTCTAAGGCAGGAGTGCAAAGATAAGGGCCAGGGGCCAGAACCAGCCCATCCGGGGTCTTACCCGACCCGCAAGCAGGTTCGAATTCTGCCATTAAAATATAGTGGGTAAGGTCGCCAACTCTGTTGCTCACAAAGCTCAGTAGCTCACAAAGCAACTGGTATGTATGGAAATATAAGGCACTCCCCCTTTTATGGTATCCCTTGGGGAAAAAAAACCTAGTCATACATAGGATTAAATACATTTATTGGGGCTTTTGTGGGCTCCCCAGTATATCAATTGCTTTCACCGCTAGGAATCAAGTGCTTTTGTTTGTATTTTGAGTAAAAATATCATCATTCATTGAGTTTGCCTGTGTCCTTTACAAAGTTTATATCTCCGGGACCTGGCATTACATTTTATGGCACACACGGCCTGGCCCAACAAAGTGACATTTACGTCAGATCTGGCCCTCGTAACAAATGAGTTCGACACCCCTGTTCCAAGGTGTGCAAACTAATCTGCAGCAGCTACAGAGCCAGCAGTAACTCACACACTACATACTGGAGGGCAGGGCTTTTTTTGTAGAAAAAGCCCAGCAGGAACACATTAGCATAATAGGCCACACCCAACAGAAACTCATTAGCATATCCAGCCACACCTATGAGAGCATAGCTCATTAGCACATTAGGCCACACCCCCATGTTACCAGAAGTGTGGTCATCCAGCCACACCCACCTTTTGCTTCTTATTCTGTTGACCTTGTTTGTTGTCAAAACCCAGGGCCTTTTTTGTAGCAGGGACTCCTTTGCATGTTAGGCCACACACCCCTAATGTAGCCAATCCTCATGACTTTCTGCTGTTGGGAGTGGCCTATTGTGCTAATGAGTTCCTGCTGGGCGTGGCCAACTTGGGAGCCAGCCGGAACTCCGTTCCTGTGCGTTCCTGCCCAAAAATAGCCCTGCTGGAGGGCCCAAAGAGACTGCCCGTGAAGGCAGAAAGTGGGATATTCCTATTCCACTAACTTGCCAAATACCAGTCCATAAAAGGAGGATTAGGACCAACTTTTGAGAACCTCAACAGCAACGGAAATGACACCTTACGAGGGTTCCCAACTTCCAAGCAGGGCCTGGAGGCTTCCCTTACTTAACCACTGATCCCCAGAAAACAGTGACCACTTCCACTGGAGAAAACGGCTGCTATGGACCCTTCCCCTCTGCAAGACTCCACCCCCTTCCCCTCCACAGACTCCACCCCCTCAAGTCTCCAGTGATAACCCAACCCAGGGTTGGCAACCCTACTTCCCTGCACATCTTTGCCCCACAAACATCGTGCAGAAATAGCACTGTTCGTAAACGGGGGCTCCCAGCTGATAATGCCTTCAAAACCATCGGCTAAACTGTGCTGCTACCCGATCTTCTGAGAATAAACCGTGGTTTATTCTCAGAAGACCGGGTAGCAGCACAAGATTCGCTAATTGTTACCCAAAAATGCCATGATAAAGGCTAAATTATAAATGATAGTTACCAAATCCTGCCAGTTGTATTATTGAAATTCTGTTATTCACTCAAAGAAACGACGACTGGTTGAAATTAACAGGTTTGGCCAATGTTGTTTAATACAGAAGACTTTATTGCCCTTTAATATTCATCGATTGGCTGCTCCGTGCCTGAAAGATACAGGAGTTTGGTTCCTGACTGATGAGATGCTCCGTATGATCTGCTTTGACTTTGGTTTGACTTTGAGAAAGACGACCATTGAAACGAGCAGATGATATCTAGGTGCTCGTCAGTCGAAGCTGCCATTGTCTTTCTATGGATTAACATATTGTACAGTTGGAACTGCTTGAACGTTATTCTCGCTCACGTCATCCTTTGGAACGGTTGAAAATTGGAATTAACTGTTGTTGTATTGGACTTTTAACCTTGTTCACATTGTGATTCAGACTTTGCTACATTGCGGCACTATTCAAGCGTGAGCAATATTTACCACTATGTCTAGATTATAACCCAGTCTTTTGAGACAGAGCAGGAACTGAGCCAACAGACACAACAATCAAATAAGCACCAGCGGGGCATTGTGGTTAGAAGAGCAGACTAGTATCGGGAAGATCCGGGTTCAAATCCCCACGCTGCGCTGAAGACTGCTATGTGACCTTGGGATGGCCTTCCTTGCTCTCAGCCTCCTACCTCACGGGAACGGTTGCTAGGATCAAAACGGAGGAAGGGAGACCGATGAACCCCACTCAGAACTCTCTGGAAGGATAAAAATTTGCTAGAAATCATGTGGAGAAGCTGGAACACAGGGGCATCCACCCATCGGCAGCAGGGGAAACACACTTCCACAAAGGATCCAAAATTAGACGTTAGTAGGAGCAGAACTATGCTTGGCAAACAAAGATCCTATCAGAGCATCCACCCACCACAGGCATGATGCAGAAGGGTTCAAACCTTGACCGACTCCTCCTCCTTTATGCTGCCCCATTTCTTTACTGTAAACCTGAGGCCCCAGACCTTTCTGAGCCTGAGGGGAAATTTCGACTTCTGACACAGGGTGGAGGGGTGCAGCCACAAAATGGCTGCCACAGGAGGTAGAGCCAAGCACAAAATGGCTGCCCCAGCTTACCTTCAGTCACACAGTGAAGATCCTTGCCCTATGGTGGCAACCAGTGTTCCCTCTAAGCTGAGTGAGTGCGAGCTAGCTCACAGGTTTTTAGCCTCCGGCTCACACATTTTTGTCTTAGCTCAGGAAGGATGGCTCCAGAGCAGACTGATTGATGCAGGATCCAAATTGCTCGCTCACAATTTTAATGCTAGTAGCTCACAAAGTTGAATTTTTGCTCACAAGACTCCACAGCTTGGAGGGAACATTGGTGGCAACTGTTACCTATGTAACATTTTTTTAAAAAGCCCATCAGATCTCATACGGCCAATCAGAATCTTTGCTGGGCAAAAGCCCCACCTGGTCCTGCCTACTCTGTAAAAACAATCGGCGGCATCAAGAAAGGTGTCCACAGGCACCGCATCAGGGATCCCAGCTGTAAACTGTGTGCACCATGGCTCATAAGAACATATGAAGAGCCCTGCTAGATCAGACCAACAACAGGGCATAGAGGCTGAGGCCGTCACTTGATAAGAACATCAGAAGAGCCCTGCTGGATCAGTGAGGGTCCATCCAGTCCTGCATCCCGTTTCTCACAGTGGCCAACCAGTTCCTCTGGAGGTCAAAACAACAGGACAGAGAGGCTGAGGCCTTCCCCTCATAAGAACATCTGAAGAGCTCTGCTGGATCAGACCAGTGGTCCACACAGTGGCCAGCCAGTTCCTCTGGAGGGCCAACAACATGACACAGAGGCCAAGGCCTTCCCCCGATAAGAATCAGGAGAGCCCTGCTGGGTCAGACCAGGGGTCCATCTAGGCCACCATCCTGTCTCACACAGTGGCCAAACAGTTCCTCTGGAGGTCGAAACAACAGGACATAGAGGCCGAGGCCTTCCCCTCATAAGAACTTCTGAGGAGCTCTGCTGGATCAGACCAATGGCCCACCTAGTCCAGCATCCTCTCTCACACAATGGCCAGCCAGTTCCTCTGGAAGGCTAACAACATGGCACAGAGGCCAAGGCCTTCCCCTGGTAAGAACATCAGGAGAGCCCTGCTGGATCAGACCAATGAAGGTCCATCTAGACCAGCATCCTATCTTACACAGTGGCCAACCTCTGTTCATCTGGAGGTCAAAACAACAGGGCACAGAGGCCGAGGCCTTCCCCTGATGTTGCCTCCTGGCACTGGGATTCAAGGGCTCAGTGCCTCAGAACGTGGAGGTTCCCCTCAGTCACCCAATAGACTTATCCTCCATGAATCTATCTAATCCCCCTTTACAGCTGTTTATTCCCGTGGCCATCACTACAATCTCTGCCATCGAATGCCACATTTTAATCACTCTCTATTCCTTAGGATAGGAGCTGCGGTGGCTCAAGTGGTTAAGACGCTGAACTGCAGGCTGTGGAAGGTCAGTAGTTCAGCAGTTTGAGACCCGCGTGTGCCGCATGATGGAGTGAGCTCCCATCTCTAGTTCCAGCTCCTGCCAACCTAGCAGTTCGAAAGCAATAAATTGCAAGTAGATAAAGAGGTACCACTTCGGTGGGAAGGTAACAGCATTCCGTGCGCCTTGGTGTTTAGTCATGCCGGCCACATGACCACGGAAACGTCTTCGGACAGCGCTGGCTCTTCGGCTTTGAAACGGAGATGAGCCCCGCAACCCTAGAGTCGGACTCGACTGGCGTTCGAGCAAGGGAACCTTTACCTTATTCCTTAAGATACAGAAATTATGTCAACCTCCCTCCCCTTTACTCCAAATAGGCTCAGAAGGGTAGTCAGCGCCTTTACAATCCCAATAAAGGACAAAGAGGCAAAAAAAATTCCTTCTCTTGTAATAGGAGTTTCCTCTTTCTTTATTTCTACAGCAACATAATTAAATACAGAGCAAAACTTGCCCCATCCTATTCACACACAACCCCCCCCCCCAAGCAGCTACCAAGCCCTCTACCCAAACCCAGCAATGGCTAAGCGCCCTGAGTTCCGCCTGTGACACAGGGCTTCTCTTTGCACATGGACAAAGCCCATGGACTCTTCAAAGGTAGTCTCCCCCAGCTGGAATAAGGGAAGAGGGCTTTCTCCCCCTCACTTGTTCCGTACCTTGCATTTCTTAAATAGTGAGCTATGAACGATGATGGAGAGATGGAGAAAGGGGACCGGATCCGAGAAGACAGGACGACACCCCTGCGGCCTTCAGTGAAACGGCACTGAAAGGGGAGACGCCGCAGCGGGAGGCGGCTTTTCCGTTTGCCAGAAATGCCAGCAAAGGAAGCTGCTGCTGCTGCTGGAATGCTCCCACCAGGCCCAACCTGCAAGAGACATGAGCGAGCCCTGCATCGATCCAGAGGCATATCAGCAGCCTTTTACAAAAAGGAGGAAAATGCTCTGTGCACAGGTGGGAGGCAATTGATATGTGCAGAAGAGTGTCCCGGTCTTCTCCCCCCTCACTCCGGATTCAGTGAGGGATCGAGCCTGGCCAGGAAAGAAAACGCAGCTTCGCTTAGCTTGGGTGTCCCCCGAGCGACTGAAAAGCACGGAGCATTCACGTGCGGGCACACAAGAGGGAGGGTTTCGTGAATCTAGTTTCAGCACTTGCTTGCATAATTATAACTGGGTCCCCACCCCGGAAGACCCCCTATCCCCATTCCTTCCCCTCCCTGGGATCCCCCGCAGCCCCTTCCCGCCCCCACAGAGTCTCTAAGCGCTTGGCAGAAAAGAGAGATGATGGTTTCAAGGAAGCAGGCCGGGCCCACCTTAGGCTGTGCCACCTTCACTTCCGCCCCGCTATGCTTGATGCCATCTAGCAGGAAGGGAAAGGAAGGCAGTCAAAGATGGTAACACCGGCCCCAGCGAGGCGAGGGTATGATCTGCTAATAGGATCCTCCCTGGCCAGCTGCCATGAGCCGGGCGCCTGCAGACAGACAATCCCCCTACCCCAAGACCCACAAGAATTGGAGAGGGAGGGATATGAAGACCACAGATTGGTGAACGAACGACACTGCCCTCAAACGGGCACAGGAGGCAAAGTGGATGGAGAGGCAGCTGTGTACCAGGGCCACAAATGAGAACAGGAATGCGTAAAGACAGGAATGTGAGAGGCGGGGATCGGGGCTTGGAAAAGGAACGGCGTCTCCCTGAGACCAAAACACAAAACGCTAAGCAAGACACAAACACGGGAAGAGGGTCAGGGGGGCACACGGCTTGCCCTGGGAATTGTAGTTCTTCCTCGTTGGAGGTCTTCAAAGCAGCCCCACCCAGGAAGGAGGCCAGCCGGTCTAGATGGAGCTGTGGATTATGGGACAAGCGGGGCCCACCAACTTTTTTCTTCTTCTGTCTGGTGGCCCAAACAGGTTATAGCACAGCTCACCATGAGCACCAGAATTTTTAAAGTCCTTGCCCTCCGGGATGCGGAGAATTCTCCAACACCCACCCACCCCAAAAAAGAAAACCCCAACCAAAAAACCCCACCAAAATCCAAGACCTTTCTCCTGCTCCCATACTACCCCCAAGAACTACAATTCCCAGCATTCCTGGAAAAGGAAAGCTCCATCCACCTTGACAACATACAACAGCACGTACACATACAAAGAGTGCAGGACAGGGTCCCTCGACAGCCGGTAGGAGCGGCCGATCCCTCACGAGAAGCTGTGAAGGGGGTTGGGAGAAGACAGAGGCAGGCCAAGTGAAGAGCCTACCGCGAAAGTCTCTCTTCTGGGAGTGAGATGCGACAAATGGAGAGCGCCGACAGCAGCATGCCGGTGGTGGAGAGGAAGACGTCAGTGGAGGGCGCACATGCGTGCGTGAGGGGGGGTTACCAACTCCACGCAGGGCGAGTCCCAACCCAGCACGAGAGGGTGGGGCTCTCCCGGCACCGTTCGGGGACAGACGGTCACGATACTGGAGCAGCAGTGACAAGACGAGCCAAAGGGTCCGAGGCTCCTGGATCTTCCGGCTCCAACCCGGCCCCGATTGGGAGCGGGCCGAGCCGCTCCTCACGCCAGTAGGGAGCTACGCCGGGAAAGGTCTACGTTGCTGGCGCTGAGCCCCCGGCTGTCCGACAGACTACTGGACCCCTGGAAGCAGAAAGGAAGGGGAACGGCAGACGGGTCAGTCAAAGTGGCCGAGTGATTCGAGTCTCAGATTAGGATCTGCGAGACCCGGATTCAAATCCTGCCCAGCCACAACAACGTTCTCTGGGTGCCCTTAGGCCAAGTTCTCTTTCGGCCTCACTCTTCTTCAGAGTGTTTCCGTGAGGCTGAAAACAGGGAACCGGAGGACATGAAGGTGGAAGGGGCCCCCCAAGGGTCATCTAGTCCAACCCCCCCGGCACAAGGCAGGAAAGTCACAACTACCTCGCATCCCTGCTCCCCCAGTGACCCCTGGTCTATGCCCAGAGGAAGAGAGAAGAAGAAGAGATTGGATTTATACCCCGCCCTTCACTACCCAAAGGTGTCTCAGAGCGGCTTACAAACTCCTTTCCCTTCCCCTCCCCTCCCCACAACAGACACCCTGTGAGGTAGGTGGGGCTGAGAGAACTTTTGACAGAAACTGCTCTTTTTCAAGAAGAGCTCTTATCAGAACTACGGCTTGCCCAAGGTCATCCAGCCAGGTGCAAGTGGAGGAGTGGGGAATCAAACCCGGTTCTCCCAGATTAGAGTCCGCGCACTTAACCACCACACCAAACTGGCTCTCAGGCAAAACACCTCCAGGATCCCTGGGCCAATGCGGCCTGGAGGAAAATTCCCTCCTGACCTCAAAGTGGCGATTGGCATTACCCTGGGCATGTCATTAAACAGCCACAATGCCTCATTTTTTTCACTGCTGGTGGGCCTGCAAACACACTGAACAGTTTTGGAACTTAGATATTTTTTGCGTCACAGGGGCCTCCCTTCCGATACGACCAGAAGTTTTACTGTTATCATTATGGCCTTAAGGCAGGATATCCGGGTCAACGAAAACCTTAACAGAATTTTCATCAGCAGCTGCTGGAGCTGCGATAGCTACAAGAGGGAAAAACAGATCGCCCCCATCGATTCCGCTGTGGTTTGGCAAAATGTGGAGATTCTACGTAATGGAAAAGATATCGCAATCAACAGAATGACAAAACGGAATCTAGTTCAGACCTTTTTTTGCAGTTTGGCATCCGGTGTTACGTGACAGGCTATCAATAGGAGAAGTTCCAAGTCGTATCTATCCTATTGACCTGTTGCAGTTGTCATTCACTTGCTAAGCATATGATCTATTTAGAAAGATTTCAGTGTCTTTGTTGTATCCCCCAGTCAATCCTGGTTTTCTTTTTTTCTGTCAGTTTCCTGTGGCGACCTCAGCAGGGTTTAATGACAGAGTCCACTGTTTTCTCCAGAGGGACTGATCTCTGCTACCTGAAGAGCATTTGTATGTTTGAGTTATCTGTAGCCCTCACCTGGAGAGTGGTAACCATTGTTACCCATTCTCCTCTCCCCTATGAGGTATGTTATGCAACTGAAAATCCCAACTGCCTTGCGGGGG